ATTCTTTAATTATAAGAAAAATAATTTTTAAGTTAACCAACCAGCAAAAATAAAAATATTTATAAAATTATTTAAGAGAAAAATATTTTATCATATGAAAAAATATTTTAAAATTATATTACTTTAATTAATTTTTATTATAAAAACATCTTAATTTTTAAAATATGAATAAAATTGGTTTAATTTTTTATAATATTTTATTAAAATAATATAATTTTAAAATTTTTACTTACTTTTTTTAAATACAATTAAGAAATATTAATTTCATTATTTACAAAGAAAAATACCTATCTTTTTAAAATTACATTATTTTAATAAATTATTATTAAAAAGTTTAAAATATTTTATTTTAAATATATATATTAATTTATTTTATTTTTTTAATTTTTTATTAAAATAAAATAATTTTTTAAATTTATAAGAAATAAGCAAACAAAGATTAATTTTTTATTTAAATATTCCAAATAAATTAACATAACTCTCGTCCCCAGTATTGATTTATTTGTTTTCATTTTTAATATATTTTTGGCTTTTTATGTCAGGTGGAAAATGGTAGGTCCGTATTCTGTGCAACCATTTCCCAAACATTCAACTAAAGTTGTACTTTTGAGAAAAGTGTACCCTTAGCAGTAGAAGGTACAAATACAATACTGGGAGTATAAAATGTAAGATTGCAGGTAAAAGTGTTTGCTTTTAGAAAGCAGAGTAATAGTAATTTTTATTTACCGCAAAGGAGTAATAGTTTTACCAAAAAAAAAGAAAAGAAAAGGGGTAATAGTAATTTTTTATGAAATTTTTAATTTGGTTTTTTTAATGTATAAATTAAGTATATATTTGGGTTTTTATTATTAATTTATTACAAATTAATTTAAATTCTATTAATTATTTGATTAAATTATTCTATATAATTGTTTTCTCAAAAATCATCTAGTGATCTCGCATGTGTGGAATCTAAACGTAAACGTACTTATTATTTTGCTGAAAATAAGAAAGAATGATTTTCCCAACGACTTTCTCTTTTATCACGATCTATCTTCTTGCATATGATAGGAAGAACGTTAGCTTAAAATTAAAATTTAAACCTATAGATGATTTTGCAAGATAGAAGGATATTTTCTTATAAAATGGGTTATTAAATCTACTTTGGAAAACTCCAAAGACTTGAACACTACCGTAAATCAAAGTTAATAAATCTTAATTAAACTAAATAATATGCAATTTAAGGTAAATGTATAAGAACGAGATGTACATAAATTAAATTAAACACGTTCATTGTCAAATTAAAATACTATCTACCAACATATTTAGAAATTAAACTACTACAAAATTAGAGATTTAACCCTAATTAACACTAAAACAAACATGAACAAAAATTAAACTAACATGCTCAAAATCGAGAAGAAGCATGAACGTTATATAAGTAATCATTTAAAAAAATACTATTTATCATAAACATTAAACTAATTACAGTAAAAAAATGAACAATACCTTGGAGAAATTCAAAAACTTGAAATTCATTATATGAAACAAAATTGTTAAAGCGAATACATGAACTAATTCAACTACTAGAATGATGAAAAGTAACCTATCTACTGAGAATTGTGTTGAAATTCAAAATCTATAAGCAAAAGTGAGCAATTACAGAGAAATTAAAAATCTAAAAATTTACAAGTTGTGTGTCGGGATTGGTCAAGTATTCTATGATCCAAAATTTCCCTTTGTTTCCTCTTTCCCGGACTATAACTTCCACTTTTTGCGGTTACAAAAATCATGGGTAATTTCTTGAAGTAGTAGGACACTTCAATAGTTGACAGGATCAGTCTCCCTTCTAGATTTTGCCATCTATTCTCTTATTTGATAATTCACATCCATAACTAAAACCACCTCCTACATTTTAGCTAAAACAGACCCAATTTACCTAAAAAAGGTAACTAAAAGATAAAATCTTATCTTTTTACATCCTTCCATCCAACATGACAGTTGATATATTAAGACACTCAGAATTACATATATGACATGGCAAAATCTCTTCCTTCCATATAAAAATTTTTGGCAAAATATCCAAATCCGCCCCTCAACTATAGGGGCAGGGACGGATCCACATCCGAACAAAAAACGGAGACAAATCCACCCACAAAGTTTTCGACTTAGACAAATAACCCATTATTTGACGTGCTACGTCATGTGACATCATCATTTCGTTAACTGCTTGTTAAGTTTGACTTTTTAAACACCGTGGAATCTTTTTTAACAGTTGGATGCTTAGGTGGCCATTTTTGTTGAGTTGGACGACCACATGGCACTTACTTCATTTTTTTTATCACCATCTCATCTAGGTCTTATTTAAATTTCAAAGTTACATCTCTCCTCTAATTACAAATATACCCTTTTCTTCTTCCTTGCCCTAATTTGCCTTTTCCCTTTCAAACCACAGTAGATCAGAGGCCGGCAACGGTGAGAGCATTTTTCTCCTTTCTCCGTTTCTCCTTTTCTACCCTTTCCATCATGTGAGGTTGGGGCCAAACGGAACCCAGATTAGAAGCCACAAGATATAATCATGCCTCCTAACAAGCTTGAAGTGCCATAGAACAAAGAAAATTGAGATTTGTGTTCCTCTGTCATAAGGGCTTGAAAGAGTTGCAAATTTTGCAAGTTTGTTGTGCGATTTTGGGTATAATAGTGTTGAGATTAACTGGTGAAAATTGAAATTGCAATTTTTTCAGTGAAAAAGACAACATTTTTTTATAGAAAAAGAAACCTTATTGAGGCCTTGAGTCACAGTTGCCAAAATGGGTATGCTTTCAGACAACAATTTCTGTTCAATGTGAAGAACAACAGACCTGTACACAGACAGGATCTCGACAATGCCATTAGAAATGGCTCTGCGGTAAATACTTGGCTTCTCTGCCTTT